ACGGTACAGAAGGAAGAAAGACTCACTTTCAGAGAGAAAAAAAATATCACATTTGCCTGCTAATATTTATTAGATTTCTCCCTCTACCTCCCCAACTGCTCCCTGAAGTAAGGAGGGTCTGGTCCCAGTGCCTTACCCTGTTCTAGGCAGCTCTCCAAGAGCTGCAGGAAGACACAGCTATGAAAGCCTGTGCTATTCTGCATAAATAAACCTCTGTAATTTCCTTCACTTTTTATTTTCCTGCCAATAAAACTGACTGGTACATTTCTGTGTTGGTTTTCGTTTCTGGCCCCTAATAGATGGTGTAAAATCTCGCTTTTCCTATTGCAGGATACTTTGCATACAACTGTTTAGTACTTTATACAGAGGAATAGTTCTGTCTGTTAAGAATACAAATGTGAAATACAGCCTATGTTTTGGCAATGCCTGCCAGAAGTTTTGCAATGCAAAATTGTGAATTTTTTTTGTTTTGGGTATAGTATACTGAGAATATTGAAAATCTTGCTGAAGTGCAAAAGAATTGTTATTTTAGCAAAATACGTATTTACTCTCATCCACTTAGCAAAAAATGCATACTTACCTTATCTCATCATGTGCATATGACTCAGTAATGGTATAATTTATACAGCAGTAAGAACCATATAATTACTTCCCATCTAAGTATTAATTATAATTGTGTCAATCTTTGGAGTGTTGAATTATGATTACAGTTGAAAATTATTCAGTATTTACAGAAAATCTAAGTGCAATTTTAATAATTTGGGTGACGCTTCCTTTTAAACACAATTATATATTTACTATACTCATTTTTACATATCCTTCAGTGGGGTTAGTAAACTGAAGTCCGTTTATCAGTGTAAAAATTTTTTTTCCCCAGTAAAAATACCTCGAAGATATTCAGTGGAAGTGAGCCTCTGATAACTCTACTAACTAGTACTGATTGCAGATGTAGTTTAGTCCTTACATGGAGATAGAGTGCTTGCGTAAAATGTAAGATTAAACTCTCCTGTCTGCAGTTTGCCTCGGCTGTTCCTGCTAGTGGCCATCTCCAAGTTGTATGCATTTATGACTGTCTGAGAAATCCAGGTCTATGAACAAAGGCTAGATTTGTGGTTGCCTAATAAAAAAGGCTTCTGCACAAAGTGAGGTTCTCTGTTACTGTGCATGCCAAGTCCAGCATCTGTTATTTACATCACACTAATGCAATTACTAGAGGTCAAGGTCACTAGGGATGAGCCTAGGCTTGGCGTGCCAAGGCCAGGGGTGAGATTGACAGCCCAGCTCAAGTGTGTCTACACCAATGCATGTAGCATGGGCAATAAACAGGAGGAGCTGGAAGCCATTATACAGCAGGACGGCTACGACTTGGTCGCCATCACAGAAACGTGGTGGGACAACTCACATGACTGGCATGCTGTCATAGATGGCTACAGACTCTTTAGGA